TAAGGAATTTTGTCGTGGAATTGTTGATATTTTTGCAGAACAACACCTTAGATCACCAACTGCGGATGACATTGAAAGACTATTTCATATTGGTGAACAACGTGATTTTCCCAGAATGTTGGGAAGTCTAGAGTACATGCATTGGGAGTTGGAAAAATTGTCTTACGGGTTGGGGCGAACAATATGCATGCACACCAACAATCATTCTCGAAACTATAGATGACTGTAACCTGTTGATATGGCACGCGTATTTTAGTATGCCAGGTACAAATAATGACATTAATGGTTTAGAATCATCACATTTCTTTCCTAACCTTGCTAAAGGTATTGCGTCTCCGGCCAATTATACTATTAAAGAAGAAAAATATCATATGGGATATTATTCAACTGATGGTATTTATCCGAAATGGGCCACGATAGTGCAATCAATTAAACATCCTAAACTTCGAAAGCACAAGTATTTAAAAACCAAACATGAGGCTTGTAGAAAAGATGTGGAACGTGCCCAGGTTTAAAATTATAAAAGACATGCTAGTTTATGGAATAAGGAAGTATTGCATGATATCATGCTAGCATGTATTATTATGCACAACATAATTGTGGAGGATGAAAATGATCTCTATGGACCAATTCCACCTGTACAAGAAGCACCACGATTGGGAGTACAAAGGCTATCAAATGAACATGTTTGGTTCCATAAATTTATTGCTCGATATCGAAAAATCAGGGGCAGAGATGCTCATTTTAAATTAAGAGATGCTTTGATAGATTATTAGTGGGAACAAACTGTTGGATTCGAGAAGGATTAGTAAATTATTATGTAAAATCTCATCGATATTGTTGTTTATTTTCGCTAGTAATATTTATTTTTCGTGTATTTTGATGTGATGATAATGTAATTTATTTATTTATTTGCAAATATATCTAAATCTTATTATTTTTAATTGTTAATCAATTAACACATTATTACTTTTTGGTTAATTAATATTAAAATAATTATTTTCATATTGAATGGAAATAAAACCAAAAAAATATCAAAGAAACATTTTGGTTATTTTATAATATAATTAATCCAATTGGGTTCTTTGTAAATTGATAAAAAGATGATGGTAAAAAAGAATATACTAAAAATATTCTTTTTTGATGTAAAAAATAATACTTTGGATTGGAGATGATGATACTGTAACAAGTAGCAATGCTTTGAGGTGCAACAAATAATATTACACTGGAAATGCTCTTGGTATGTACATCAAACAACAAAAACACTTTGTGAAGTATAATATCTTAATAAAGGGTTGTACATCAATTGCCTTGTTGATTTTATAATGAATTAGGTTTACTATAAGTTACATATAAACACGTTATTAACAGGAATATTGATAACTATTAATCATTAACCCCCTCAAGAAAACATATGTATCACATTAATACTACCACATAATAAAATAAAACAAATCGTTACACTATAAATCATCTGTCAAGCAAGAATATTTTCATCGGTGAATAGTATTTTCTCTGTAATAAAATTATTGGTCAGTTTCATAATAATTTCGGGACGAAAAGAGTATTATTATTATTATTATTATTGGTAAATTGTAAATTTCATTAACTTTTAACTAGGAAGTGCAAATTTACACCAAAAAATTGCCCTAATACATAAACTAGCACATGCTAAACTATCTGTACAGAGAATAAATAAAAAAAACTGTTTCATCAGTTGTTGAACCTTTGCTGAATTTCTACTACCCACAATATGCTCAACTCGCAACTGCACCTCTTGTTTGATCACTTCCAGAAGCATCTCAGGAGTTCTCATTCTATCAGTAAATAATCTAGCATTCCTTTCCTCCCATACACAATATAATACAGCAGCCATAGCAGATCAAAACACACATCTCCTCAGCTTAGAGTTTTTCCAGATAATCATTACTCTTGCTCTCCAGACTCTCTGCTGGCTAGAAAGTGACCTGATTCCCAACCAACTGACAACTCTATCCAGTAACTCAACAGAGAAAGAACACTCAAAAAACAGATGAGTCAATGTTTCTGGTTGATTTTGACACAAGGGACAGACATGATCAACTTGCAGCAGGAAAAAGCTTGACAAGTCTGTCCTTAGTCAACAATTGATTTCTCCAGAACAACCTCAACATGAAAGCATGTTTAGGAATATTACATCTAAACCAAATAAACGATGCAGCAGGCAGAGATGCATATTCTCCTATCAACCATTTATGCCCAGAATGGATGGTATACATACCTGATACATTATGCTTCCATAAATTCCCTGAGAATTGGTCTTTTGCTTTCTCCTTCATTCTGAGTATTTGCTTCCAATACCAACTTGAGTCTGCTGAAGCTGCTGCAATTCCCAAAAATTCCTCCTCTTTATATAAACCTCATAGACCCATTTAACCCACAAATGATCACTTTTGCAAGCCAAATTCCACCCTTGCTTCAACAGGGATACTTCACTCCACAATTTAGCATCTCAAATATTCAAACCACCTTCTTTTCTTGGCCTACATATTTGCTCCCAGTTAACTAGGGCTACACTAGTCACGAATCTTTAACACCCCATAGGAAGGTCCTGCACACTCTAATTATTTGCTGGATAACACTATGGGGAAGAATGAACGCCGAAGCCCAATAATTATTAATAGTCATAAGCACAAAATTTATCAGCTGAAGTCTCCCCGCATAGCTAAGATGTTTGGTGCTCCAACATCGGACCTTAGCTGTCAATTTTTGCACCAACACCTCACAGTCTAACTGATTCCATTTTTTAGGGACAAAGGAACTCCTAAATACTTCATAGGGAATTTTCCCTCCCCGAAACCAATGATTCTACATAATTCCTCCTTCAACTCTTTTCTCAAACCCCCCCCCCCCCCCAAAAAAAAATAAATAAATAGGAGACTTTGAAGGATTTGCAACTAAACCAGTAGTCTCCGAAAAATGACGTAAAACAGACATAATTTGCTGCAAAGTATAAACATCTGCTTTGCAGAAGATCATAAGATCATCTGCAAAACAAATGTTAGTGAGCTTCATACCTTTGCATTGAGGGTGAAACTTGAACTGTGCATCATCTGCGACCATCTTCATCATTCGAGTGAAGTATTCCATGACTAAGACAAAAATTAACGGTGACACTGGGTCACCATGCCTTAATCCTCTCCGGCCCTTGAAAAATCCCCACTTTTCACCATTTAGGTTAACAGTACACGTGGTTGTCCGGATGCATTCCATGATCTTCTACAAGAAAGAATCAGGAAAACCAAATCCAGTAAGCATTTCTTCAATAAATGACCACTCCATCGAATCATACACTTTGCGAAGATCTATCTTCAACAAACATCTTCCACTGATGTTCCTCCTTCCATAGTATCTGATTAGTTCATGAGTGAGCAACACATTATGAAGGATCAGTCGACCACTTACAAAAGCACTCTGATTCGTGTCCACCAATTCTGACAACACTGCTTTCAACTTTGAGCACAAGATCTTCGAAATGCACTTGTATAAGACATTTTACCACGAAATCGGCCGGTATTCAGCAGCAGTCCGAGGACAATTAGATTTAGGTACCATCGCCAAAACAATTGAGTTGATCTGTTTAAAAAGCCTTCCACTTTCAAAAAATTCCAGTATTACCTTTTCCATATCTTCCTTCACAATTTCCCATGCTTCTCCATAGAACCCACTGCCGTACCCGTCGGGACCTGAACTTTTATTCACATTGATGCTCCACATGGCCTTCTTCACCTCCTGTTTAGTTACCTTTTTTAACAACTGAATCTGTTGTTGCCAACTCAGTTAAGGACCCTGATCATAAACCTCCCATTGTGACACCATTCGTTTACTGCTTTGCCCTAACTGCCTTTGAAAATATTCAACAAAATGGACCTTGATCACATCCCAATCTCGGACAAGGACTCCATCTTCCACTATAAAACATATTTTATTCTGCATATTCCTGACACGAAGTCTATCATGAAAGTACGTAGAATTTGAGTCCCCTAGTTTTACCCAAGTTTCCTTTGCCTTTTGGCAAAAAACTCTCTGCTGTTGTACTAGCTGTAACATACTCCCTTCTGACCTCCCGTTCCGAAACTTGTAGGTTTTCATCACCGCGGTTGCAATGTACATGTTCCTGAAGTTGTGCAAGTTGAACAGATAACTGTTGTGCCTGATTCTGAATATCACTGAATTCTATTCTGTTGAGAAACCTTAACTCTTGTTTCAGCTTCTTCAATTTCTTGATTACCTGAAACATACTAAACCCTCTCTCGGTACCATTCCAACTATCTTGCACCACTGTTTTGAATTGCTTTGCTTGGCACCACATATTGTAGAATTTAAACGACCGAGGTTTTCTGGTTTCTTCCTCTCCTAACTGTACCAGGATTGGAGTATGATCAGAACAACCTTCAGCCATTACTATTGCATTTGAATATGGAAACGTCATGATCCATTCCCCATTGACAAGAATCCTATCTATCCTAGAACACACCGTAACTGCACTAAGTTGTTTGTTTGACCATGTATACTTATAACCCAACTGCTTCAAATCTTGAAATTCACATTCTTGGATGCATCACTGGAACCCCTGTATTTCAGAAAGCAGCACCTTATTTCCACCCAATCTCTCATCCACAGCCAACACATTGTTATGATCACCAACTGCTATCCAAGCTTTGTCTACACTTGCTGCTATCGTAATCAAGTGCTCCCATAACTCTTCTCTATCAGTTCTCTCATTAATTTTTTTAATGAGTATTATTTTTTTTATATCTATATTCTTAAAAAAAAGTTGATATTGGGTTCTTTTTATACCACATTTCAAAATTAAAATGTGATAAAAAGAGGGGAAGAAAAAAAGTGAAAAGAAAAAGGAAGTGATAAAAAGTGGAGAGGCTGTAGCCTGGCCCAGTACATCCAATTTTCCATTTCCCTCGCATCTATTCTCCATTGGCGCGATAATTCCAAAGCCCACACTTTGAAAGCCTACGCGCAGTCTCTTAACCGTGGTTCTCAGCTAACCAAACGTTCAACTAACCATAGTTACTTTCTCTTTCCTTCCCAGTTTTTCCAACTCCCATTCTTCATTTCTTTGCGTTCAATCTTAGCTCTCGTCTTCTCTACCTGTTCTACTCGATAGATCTACTCAATCATCAAATCTAGGGTTTCTATTAGTTCAGAAATTGCGATTGTGTATCAAGCATTGATTTTTTTCCAGTTTATTGGTAGAATTTTTTTCTTTATGCAAACAATTGTGTGGGAATCGCAGCGTAACAATAGTCCCGCGATTAGAGTGAGAAATGGAGATGCAGAAAATGGTAGAATGTCTTCAGAGGGGAGTTGATACTCGGCCTCGAAAACGACCTCGTTTGACCTGGGATGTTCCTGCTCCCGCTCCTCATCCTCCTCTTCCTAAGGTGCTCTGCTTTTTTAGTTTCCTTTTAGTTCATGATGAAGCTTTTCTTTTTTCAGTTGCGCGTATTTTGATTAGTTTTAGATTTCATCATTGTTAATTTTAATATCCCGAGTTTTTCATTTCTTGTTTGTTATTTCAATTTTACCGCTGTTTTATGCGAGTTAAAAATCTTTACCACGTTCCCTTTTGTTGTAGCATAGCTTAATTTCTTGAAATCTGTAACTGGATTTGCTTGTGTCCTGCATGAGGTTTTGTAAACAGTTGATGTAAATTATTTTGTTGATTTTGTTTGCCTGTTTATAAATCTTTTTTCAGTGTAATTTATTTGGGCAAAAATAGAGATTTATCTTTTGTATTTAGTTTCTGTAATCTTTTGTATCTTATCATATCAAAAAATTTTATTTTCATTAGATATTAAACTTCCTCTCTTGTTTGTCCATTTTTTATGGCAAATCATGAAATGCAGTCTCTCTTGATTTAATGGAAATCTTCTCATGATGAAACTGATTGTACATTTTATTACCGTTTTCCCTTGAAACATAGAAGGGGAAGGAACCTAATTGGAGGGGAAGGCTATGGTTTTGGGGAATATAGATTTTTCTGCATTTTTGGCATATGTTTTGATAAAGTTCCGAGGCTAACAATTGCTCAGCACATCTTGCACTATCATAATACCGATAGGTACTATTGGTAGTGGTTCTCATGGGGCTTTGTGATGTTATTATTTTAATATGTGACCATCACTGTGTTATGATATTTATCTGTCTGAGGTCTCTTGAGGTGCTGAAATTCCTTTTGGGAACAATCAGATGCATTTCCAAATACATGATGCACTATCTTCATTATTGTAATAGGTCATTCCAACAGTATATTGCGGTCAAGAGTTCATGAATGGGCTATTGCCAAACTACCCTTATTCATCAATATATTGTAAGGGGGTTCCTCGGAATATTTCCCCACCTTGGAGATCAGATGATAAAGATGGACACTACGTCTTTGCCATTGGAGAAAACTTAACTCCTCGTTGTAAGTAAATATATGCTTCTTCTTTTTTTATTCTTTTTTTTTTTGGGGGAGCGTGGCGCATATGTAGTGACTATTGAAATAATTCGATGTTATTTTTAAAATATTGAGGTCAGCTTGTAAACTTTATTCAAGCCATATGTTGCATGAGTCCTCTTAAGTTCCTTACCACAGGTGATACTTTATTTGTTCAAACACCAGATTACTATCCTTTTAACTCGAAAACAGCAATTATATTTCTCTTGTGATTTGGGCTAGTTTTTTTTACCTGAATTAATTCAGTATTAGGTGGACTATGCCATGACAGGATTCTATTTGGTTTTGTCATATAAGTTGTAGCTTCCTCCCTCTCATCACATTTTTTTTTTTCTGATTTCGCAGATAGGATACTGAGCAAAATGGGTGAAGGTTAGTTAGTCTCTGGTTTTGAGTTTGAACATTTTTTAACAATGTCATGTTTATTACTTATTTTTATCTCTGTACTAAAATGCGGTGATACCTTCTCTGTGCTTTTCTGTTAAATCTTTTTGACTTTTAAATAAAGCTAAGTTTGCGAGCATCAGCAAGCTCAATATCTCTCTTATGTCATATTTTGGATAAGATAATGAATATTGATGGTTTTCGATTTTTCCGTAATATATGTAGGGACATTTGGGCAAGTTCTTGAATGTTTGGACCATGAAAGGAAAGAAATTGTGGCAATTAAGGTTGTTCGCTCGATCCATAAGTATCGCGAAGCTGCCATGATTGAGATTGATGTCCTTCAGAAGCTATTGAGGCATGATGTTGGTGGTAGACGGTAAGGCTCGTTTTCCCATGTTTCTTATTAATAGTTGTTGAATTTGAAGTCATTTTTGTATAAGTGGTTGCATTCTTTGCAGTTGTGTGCAAATACGGAATTGGTTTGACTATCGTAATCATATATGTATTGTAAGTACTGGTTGATGCTTTATGTGCTTTATTATATTTGGTGGAGTAACTACTCCACTGTTGTGCCTGAATAGGCTCTAGTTAAAAGCTTGCGAATGGATTTAAATGGTGTTGACAGGTTTTTGAGAAGCTTGGTCCAAGCTTATACGATTTCCTCCGCAAAAACAGCTACCGTTCATTTCCCATTGATCTTGTTCGGGAGTTTGGCAGACAACTCTTGGAGTCTGTAGCATGTGTGTTTCCAAATCATCGCGATATTATTTTATTTATCTTCCAGTACTCTCAGTTGATTTCTCAAATACATGGTCCTTTGATTGATTAGGCTCCAACTTAATGTCTTTGATACATATTTATTCTATTGATGACATTGGTGACTATTCTCACGTGTTGAGAAATTTGTTACGATGCACATCTCATTTTCTGAACGTTTTTGGCAGTTATGCATGATCTACGCCTGATTCACACTGATTTAAAGCCAGAGAACATTCTTCTTGTTTCCTCTGAGAGTATCAAAATCCCTGACTTTAAGGTGATGCTCTTCTTCTAAAAAAGTTCTTACTTTGGGAGGAATGAAATGCATTTTATGGCTGCTTTTGCTTTAAACTTTTCATTTCAATGTTCAATTCCTACACGAAAACTTCAGTCAGAAATTCTAATGGTGGTATCTCTCATGTTTTCTGCTCCTGCAATGAAGTTTCTGTCGAGGTCCATGAAAGATGGTTCCTACTTTAAAAATCTACCCAAGTCAAGTGCTATCAAGCTCATTGACTTTGGCAGCACCACTTTTGAGCATCAGGATCATAGTTATGTGGTGTCAACACGTCATTACCGTGCTCCAGAGGTTATTTTGGGTAAGAATGTTTTCAATTGAGTGGCATACATGTTTGCTGGGTATTGTGGTTTGCTTATTTGTTTGTATATGTAGGACTTGGATGGAACTACCCGTGTGACTTGTGGAGCGTTGGTTGTATACTTGTCGAACTTTGCTCTGTAAGTATAATATGAGTCAGTTTCTAGTTTTTATCTTTTATTAGGATCATTTTCTTTCTTCATTTTGCTATGTGATGTGATTTTCATGACAGCAAGGATGGTAATACCATAATATACACCTTTGCAGACAATACATTGTGGAATTTGGTTGCTTGATGCTCTTTAGTGGCTGTATATGCTTCCTTCTTTTTCCCTTTGTTTTTTTCACTGTAAAGAAAAGTCTGAATAATCTGTTGGCCACCATGCCCTATGTTAAAGAAAACCAGATTCTTATCCTTTTATAATTACATAATTGGTTGTGGTCTCAGTTTTCATGCTAGTCCCTATATCTTGTTTCTGATGTTATTATCTCAGAGGTCATATTGTGAGATGTAATTAATGATTACTTGTGTGTCCCGTATATACATTGCTTCTTCTTCTTCTTTTTTTGTTTGTTTTACTCAACATAAAGAAAAGTCTGAATGATCAGTTGACATGATGATCTATTATGTTATAGAAAACCAGGCTGTCATTTAATAATTCGCTGGTTGCATGGTTGTGGTCCCGGTTTTCATGCTAGTCTCTAGATCTTGTTTCTGATGTTATCATCTCAGAGGTTATATAGTGCATACTTGTGTGTTTAGGGGGAGGCTCTTTTTCAGACGCATGAGAATCTGGAGCATCTTGCTATGATGGAACGAGTGCTTGGTCCCTTGCCTCAGCATATGATCATCAGAGCAGAGTAAGTTTTAGCCACTTCTAATTCATGTCATTCTTGACTTATCTGGTGGAGTTGATGGTAATTGCAACAAGTTGTTTTCTTTTGAAGCCGTCGTGCTGAGAAATATTTCAAAAGGAGTGCACGGTTAGGTTGGCCAGACAGTTCTACCTCTAGAGAAAGTATGCGGGCAGTTTGGAAGCTGCCTCGTCTTCAGGTAACTTGCATCTCTTTACTGTCTCAGTTTCAGTATCGTCTTAGCCTAGTGTTAAGAGTCCGTTCCTTTTCTTATCTTTTGATCTCGTGGGTTCTAAAAGTAATCTCCTTTTGCCACTTCAAACTGTCGACCAATATCTGATTTCTTCTACTCCTTTTTGCTAATTGCTTGTTATATTAATTTGTTAGTATATCTTTGCTGTTTAATGGAGAGCAAATGTTATTCACTGTTCTCTTATTCAAATTGTGCTTCCTCAACCCCCACACAGAAGTTTAATTACATTTCATTTTCGGTAAAAGGAAACAGCAGAAACATTGAATTTTGGATACTTGTGAAATTAATTATTTTCTTTCTAAAGAAAGCAGTTACTTTTCATTTGCTAGATTCTTCTTGAGATTTGGCTACAAATTGGTAGGTGTATGTTGCCTTAATTCCTCTCCGTCACAGTGGAAGGGAGATATAGAGAGGTTTTTAGGCCATTTTTCTCTGAAAATATAGTTTTTGCCACAGGGAAAAAGATTGAGACAATATTACGATGATTCTGTGTATACATAATTGTTGGTAGCAAGGGGAGGCTGCATTCTTTCTTAATTGGTTAACTGGCATTTATGCTATATACTCTTTTTTTCCTAATGGTAAATCTTTGACTCGGTTATGTTCTTCTGCAGAATCTAATAATGCAGCTTGTGGACAACTCTGCTGGTGATCTCATTGATCTCTTGCAAGGTCTTCTCCGTTATGATCCAGGAGAGCGTCTGAAAGCGAGAGATGCGTTACGACACCCATTCTTTACCAGGGATTTAAGACGGGTTGGCTATCATCTGTAAATCAAGATTCTACTCAAGCAAACTAAAGTAACAGGAAGGAAATAGTGCAGGTGTGGGTTGGGGAGCTAAAAAAATGAAAGTGTGATGTAGATTTAACCCCTTTTCACTTATGTTGTATTTGTCATGTCATTTCTGTATAGAAATGGTGCCTCTCCACTATTGCGATTCCCGAATATGCTTTATCAAAATCATATTTGGCGTTAAAGCATATCTTCCACCCTTTTTTCCTTCCCATCCTTGTTATTGTGATTGCACAAAAGAGTGATAAAAAAAATTTGTTGAAATTTGCATGGTTTTCTTGTATGCCTTATCTAACAGCTCATCTACAAATTTGTTTGCTGTTTCATTCTACCAACAGAATTTTGGATCAAGATAAGGGGAAGTCCTAACATGCAGATTTCGTGGCTTGTGCTCAAGTTGTTTTTGCCTGGCAGTTGGCTTGGCCATTGAGTCTGAGAGATGAGGTGGGAGAATCCCTGTGCATCAAAGACACAAAGGTATCATTTCTGTTACTATTTCTTTCTAGTCTTTATGTCATCGCTTCACCCATCTATTGGAAACTGGTGAATTAGTCATACAGTCATCTATTCATGCATGCTGACTAGGTTAGAAAAGTATTTTGTCAAATATATAAGATCGTACTCGAGAATTGGTTGATGTAAGATGGTGCTGTCAAATATATAAGATCCTACTTGAGAATTGGTTGATGTAAGATACTGCTGAGGTGTTCTTTTTTTTGGGGGGGTGGAGGGGGTTGGAGGAATTGATCGCTTCGTTGTTCAAGCTTGTATGCTGGCTATCCTAGCTGCTGACTCCAGGAACTGTTACAAATGAGATGTTTAATCAGAATGGCACATCAAAATGTGTATTTGGTTTCCTTGGCGAGTGCTTATTCATGAATTCTGAAGCTATCCTGGATGTGAAGTCGACGAGTGAGGGATTGGATGTTTTGCTGTTTTGGTTGAAAGAGAATCATTATTATTATTATTCCAAAAAAGGAAGTGTAACATCTCGTGGCGTATGATTTTCTGATAATGGGAAAAATAAAAAACAATTCAAATGTCATATCAGATGTCCTAAATTATAAACATTGAGAAATGGTCGTTCTCTCCCCCAAAAAAAAAAAAAAAAGAAAAAGAAAAAGAAGAAGAAGAAATGGCCGTTTATGTTGGATGTATGACGTATCATCAGAATTGACACCGGGTCTTTTGGGCAGATTGATTCCAGAATCAACCAAGAAAGATCAAGAGAATCAAAAGAATTATGAATTATGAAGAGCTATTTATGACACAAAGGTAGAAAAGGACAGTTATGAAAATCACTAGGTGAATGAAGTACACATGATCTCCAACTGTTTCGGAATGTAGCTAAGCTAACGATGTGAATCTGTCATGGATCTCAGTTTAGAGCTTGAACAACTGCTGAATCTTGTAGTCTCTCTTCCAACAAAACCCACCATTTAGGGACGGCGGCTGCCAGTAAATACTAGTAAACCGATGGGACTGAGGAAGGTCGGTGAGAACGCCACATGGGGTATCTTTTTCTTAACAGGCCGGAGTAACATATTCCGGTGTAGTTTCCACTCTGGAATGCGTGGGCCAAGGCATCACGTGAAGATGCCAGAGTGGCTAGTGTTACGTATAACTAGAAGAAGGCTGCTTTTCTTAAAAGTAAAATCTGGCCTAATCTGCTCTTAACCAATCAGGTTAGCGCTCCCACGTGGTAATTCTGACCCTACCGGATGACATCAGAGTATCATTGCCTAATTTTAATGTTGCCCCCATAAAATATTTTTTTAACTAAAACAGTTCCTAATAACACTTTCATTTTGTGTCGAACCTACCCCAACTTTGCTATTTTTAGACTTTTGGTTTTCGGCCACTTTCCCTTTGGTACTCTTTTTAATTGGTTCTGGCAATTCTACCTTTCTCCTTGCGCGCGCTTTCTCGCTCTTTCTTTTCTCTTCTCCTCCTTTTCTTTCCTTTTCTAAAACCGCAGTTTCCTTATTTAGCTTCATTCCTCTTCTAGTTCTTACTTGCCCTGGAGGAATTTTGATGTGCAAGAGTAGTAGTTTGGAGATTCTGACAATTTGGCTGGCCCTGTTATGATGGCTGATTCTTCATCTTCTCAGTACATACGTTTGGTAAGTGCAAATTCTTTTGAATCCCGAGAACAAACGTTATGGTTGATGAGGCCATATGTAGAGATTGACGGGATTGATGCTAATATGTGCAGGTACAGCATTTGATAGAAGAGTGCATCTTATTCAATATGGGCAAAGAGGAATGCATGGATGCTCTCTCCAAACATGCAAACATCAAACCCGTCATTACTGCCACCGGTAAAGTCAACCCTGTTATATAATCTCAATCCTCAATTTATGTTCCTCCAAATTACAGGTTGACCTTTGTCTTTTGAATACTCATTGTAAACCCAAAACTGTATTGAAAGTTCATCATCAAGATCTTCAACGTGATTTTGAGATTGATGTCCTGTTTTTTGTTTGGTTGATTTCCAGTGTGGAAGGAACTAGAGAAGGAGAACAAAGAGTTCTTCGAAGCCTACAACAAGAACCGGGAGGAACGTGCATCTGAAGCAGAGACAAGACAAAGAATCAAAAAGATGCTGTTGGATTCTTCTACCAAAGACGACTCCACTGATGATGACTAGTTTAGTTGTTGTACATGATTGCGGACAAAAGGCGTTGTGTCTAACGTTTTAGCCTTTTAGGAGGAGGCGTTTACGAAACTACGAACGGATCTCTCCGTTCAAATTATTCAAAGTCTTTGACTTCGTATGATTGAGGGAATCCCCCCGTCCCCGTCCAATCAAAAAGCCAAATTCAATATTGTACGTTCATCTTCGATTTCCCACGAGAATAAAAACGTTGGAGTACTAAGGTTAAAAGAAAAAAATTAAAAGAAAGAAGTTCTTCCGTTTCTGCTTTGGTGGGCATCGGTTCGTTCAACTTGTTGGGAGTTGTGACAAAAATCTTTGCTTGTCACATTTGGATACGTGTATGCGATTCCATTGTTTGCATTGTTCACGTGTCTTTCTCTCGGCTTTGCTCACTGCTGGTTAGCCACCTTTGAGTCCTCTTTTTTTAGTGTTATGATTTTCAACAGTCGATATCATTGTCCTACTAAATTAAATGAACTGACGGAAAATAAAGCAGGGACCATTTTTTTTTGCGAGATTTTGTTGTTTCACTCTTCTTTCTTTACTTTGGTTTTGATCTTCTTCTCCTCCTGGGGACCGCGTTTGTCATTCTTGCTGTTCTGGGTTCGTTCGTTTTGGGAGGGGATACGTTTTTCTCGTATTCACGTGTGATGCCTGATGAGTGTTGACCCAACTGAAACCATGAATATTCCCTTTTGTTCTATAACAAATTATCTTGTTTCTTGTACCATGGCGGATATATTTCATTATTTTGTAATTTCTGTACACTTTAATTAAGTATATAGAAACTTTTCACTTCGAGAACTAAATTCATTTGTTTAAAGTACTCAAATCTCCATCGGATTCAGTAATCTCATGAAATGAGTAAACAAATAACTACAGAAACCCGAACAATCAGATAGCCTTACTACTTCAGAACTTTAGTAAAGAGAACCACCTTTCAAAACCAAGTTTTAATTACTGGTTGGATGATTTATCTATCATTCCCATATTCCCTATTTCACTATCCACAGCCTGCAATTTCATCAAAATTACTCTCACTTGATTCACTTCCTTCATGTAAAAATAATGAAGGTTTTAACATCATCCATAATATCCCCACACATATATGAGTTAAATAATTCTAAAAAGAATAAAAGTGGTCAAAAATAGTTCAGGTATGGGAGAATGACCATCTGTATGGATATTGGATTTTCGAAATCCAATTTTAGGTTGATATCGGATTTCGAATATCCGATTTTCATTCACATATAAAGTTAAGATTGAATTTTAAAAATTTGATATTCATACTTTTGATATTCATACTTTTGATAGTTTAGGTTGGCCACTTTTATTTTCATTGATTATTTTTTTGATCAAAATCTCCCCATTTTTCCTCTGATTCTAGAAATTTGTCAACTACATTCATGGGACTTGTATATATGATGGTCAGTTTAGCATACTATCTCCAATGTGAGACGAAATGTACTTTAGCTACTACATTGTTCCAACATTCACATATTCAGATGATTCACCGGTCAATCCGTCATATTCCTAATTTCAGTAATGTCATCAATCTTACTATAATTCTCGACTTGCTTAATTATAAAAGTATCCTGGAAGTTAAAGACTCTAGGACACGACTTATTAGGAGGCTTTTCTTTTTTCTTTTTAATCAACACACCGCTGTAATTAAATGAAATAAGGTTTTGCTTCTAAGTTCTCTTGTGCAAAGAAACAGAAAAGAGAAAAAAGAAAAATAGGCTACGCCATGATGTAGTTGGGGTATCTTATACCCGCAATGTTATTGTATAAAAAAAATAGAAGCGGGAAAATGTATCCTTGTGTTAAAAGACCGTACATCAGACTTGCATTATCGGGAAAACTCAAGCTTCGTTGTGATAGACGGTTTGTAATTTGCGTATAAAATATGTTAGCAAATTATGACTCTTGATGACTCTTGTAGCTTACATCCAAGACCACCAAATTGTGAAAATCTACGTTCATGAGCTATTAATTTTAAGCTCTTATAGGATTATGTATCACATGCAAGAAATGTTATTAAAAAAATTGCAATATCAATATGGATAATTCTAAATTTTTTTGAATGCCTAACTTTGAAATAAATTAAATTAGTAAGTTTATGATGGAAATTAAATTATCGTAAAGAAAAAGATTCTAAGAAATCTGAGGGAGGGAAAACCCGGCTAGCAATCACGCAAATATTAAAGGGAAAATGATTGAGCCTAATGATTAGGGGCTCCGTATTCTCAACTTAACGGGCCAAAAATAAAGGCCCAGTTATTCAGTATTCAGAAACCTCTTTCCGTCTCCTCTCGTTATCAGCAGAAATTGGGGTTTTAGAGTTCCGTCCCCTCCAAAAATTCTGTGTGTTTGAACTTTAAACCCTACCAATTTCGCCGGCAAAAATGAATTTCACCGTCAAACCAGTTTCCGGCAAACTCAACCCCGGTCACCAGACGCTCCTCCCTTCAGTCCATCACCACCGACCGCTATTTTTAAGACCTATTTCTTCAATCTCCTTCAGAACCAGCCCTCCGCCTCGTTCTCCGTCCTTCTCGCTCGCCCTCGTTAGAGCTTCTTCATCTTCCTCGTTTCAAATTTCGAACGCGTCTTCGGAGGAAAACCCTTCTTCTCGTCTGCCCAATAAATCCCTAAATCCCCTGCAAAACCCTAATGGTTATTCTACCTCGGCTACTCCGGCTCTGGCAGGATTCCCGTTCTCATTCATCAAAACCACACTAATTGCCACTGCTGCCGCCGCAGCGATCTTCTTTTCGAGGTTTAAGTTTTTCAACGTGAAGCCCGCCTTTGCTGCACTCTCGACTGGGGTTGCAGCCACTGTTGAAACTGCCCCAAACGACGTCGCTGGAGAGGAGGAAAAGGAGAAAATGCTCGAGGAACACTTGGATTCGAACCCATCTGATGTCGAAGCCCTGAGAAGCTTAATGGAGATTCGAATTAAGAACAATAAATTGCAGGAAGCGATTCTCGTCGTGGATAAACTCATAGAGCTGGAGCCGGCGGAAGTGGAGTGGCCTTTGATGAAATCTCATTTGTATATTTACAGTGGGGATGCTGAGTCCGCGAAAAAGGGGTTTAGCGAGATCATTTCAAATGACCCTTTCCGGGTGGAGGCTTATCACGGTCTTGTGATGGCTGAATCGCAGGACGATTCAAGTGCTGAATTGACTCAAATTGATGAGAAAATTCAAGAAGCTATGAAAATGTGCAAGAAAGAAAATAGAAAGAATGACTTGAGGGATTTTAAACTTTTGCGTGCACAAATTCTGGTTATTCAAGGGAAGTACAACGATGCTCTGAATTTGTATCAGGAATTAGTTAAAGAGGAGCCCAGAGATTTTAGGCCCTATTTGTGTCAAGGGATAATATACACTCTGTTGAGGAAGAATGATGAAGCTGAAAAGAGTTTCGAGAAATATAGAAGATTGGTACCCAAGGGGCATCCTTATGCTAGGTATTTTGAGGATAATATGATCGCCACAAAGGTGTTTGCTCAGAAGGTTGAAAAGGAAATGGCCACCTCCAAGAGTTAATACTGCACTGGTGAATCTCACATGACATTGCGGTATAATGAGCCTTTTGTTACTGATGTTGCTATTATTCGCTTTTTATGAGTATTGTTGCGGTATAGCTCTTCGTTGTTTCTTTTCAATTGTAGGATGTGTTATAAAAGTTTTAGTGATTAGAGTTTTATATGGAGATTACAGGGGGTGGGGAAGATTTTGTGGTTTGGGCAGTGACGTTATTGGCTTCTGGGCGCTCATATTTAGAGCTAATCATTTTAAAATGGTATTTCCGATTACTGCATGATTCAATCTCAAAGAGAAAGAAGATGGAGAACTTTTATCTGTTTTGGTGTTCATTAGTAGGTATGTTTTACGCTTGCTAGCATTGTGTGCTCGTGTAGGCTACCTTTTTTGTTACTCGTTCATCAAGCAAAACTCGCTTTCTATGCACTCGGAGATCTTAGTCTTGCAAATGCTTGTTTCCAATACAATGCTGAATGTGAACGGGTGACAGGTTTTTACTTTCAGAACTCCTTGAAGTAACTATTTTCAAACTTGATTCTAGACTTGTATACATTCATTGATAATCTCGATTATTGACTGTCAATCTGTGTGAATTATACTAGTCAAAAGCTGAAAGATGCTGAGGATGATAAGTTAGAACAATCTTCGTGCTGATAGTATTATCTATTGTAAGAGGACTTTTGAGTGAGTTATATACATTTGTGTTGATACTGGAGAATGCTTGCTTTGCATACTTTCCCGGAGATGGATGTTTTGTTTAGGCTTTAAGATAATTGTTCGCTAGTTCCTGCTTTCTCTCATGCTACCAGATCTTGATGTGATGATGAGTTGTGGTTTTAGTTGATACAAGAATTCATGATCAAGGTTGCATCTTACACTTGTTTTTTTTTTTTTTGGCAATTTGAGCTTTAAAGTTTAAACTTTAAACCCCTGATGATAAGGTCCCATGCTCTGTGCTATGCCGCTGCTTACTAGCTCCATCTTCCCTATTCAGTGCTTTGATGTAGGCTCTTTGCTTCTGTCTTTGTTATGTTTATGAGTCATGTTGAAACTTGAAACTGGAATTCGGGTGACATTTTTCCTGCCTGTATTCTTGGTAAGAACCCAGAAACTACTTCGTCCATTTTTAAGTGTCAATGCTGTAATGATAGAAGTTTTTCTCTGATTTTGTGTCATGAGTCGTGACTCACGAAGCCATGAATAAAATGTACTCCCTCTCACCCAAAAAAAACTAGTCCCTTTTGTGATTTTTAATCAATGTGAACTTTTTTTTTTTTTTTTTTTTTGGGATAAAGGTAACTTTTAAAAAAGAAAATGCAAGAGAAGCCAGGCTTAGATATAAAACATCTTTAGAGTACGCTGGATGAGGCTAATTGATCTATCACTAGTAGACTCATTAAGACAGAATGAAATTTATTGGTATAAACAAATGTTATTGATATAGGCAAAGACTCAAAGGGGAAGAAGAAAATTTATTGGCATAGCCGCAAATTGAAAATTTTCGCATTTTTTTTGGGGCCGTTAGCATAATCAGAAGTATTCTTTATTGGGCTTTGTAAGCTCATATTTAGTCGGAATGTAACGGGTGTGTCTGTCATGGATATTGATATCCTGTTCTGGCCCAAGTTGACGAGTCATGGGATTTCAAACCCTTCCCAGGTTTTTTTTGGTATAAGCATCCTACCAGGTTTTAAACTACCCCAGTGAAAAAAATAAGGAGAGAAATATAACACAAAGAAGCAGCATGTTGGCTGTAGCAAAGAACATTCTTTCTTCCTATGCTGTAACTGTATTAGTAGTATTTTTAAGTCTCGTCCCATTTTAAAAATCTGCTTGTTGAGCTAAAATAGTATGACAAGATGAGAGGAATATTACTTTGTTAGAAAACTGGCAAGCAACCATGAAGTATAACCCAATGCTCCGTTAAAATGGCTGTATCTTTTGGGTTTACAGATGCTGTTTCGGTGTTTCCAATCTTCTATTTCTGGAAATAACAATCCAAGATGCCGCCGGCAAAAATGCGTTGCCAACTTTTTGTTTTGGGTTTTTCAAACGCCAAAACACATCCAAATAGAGCCTGCTTAACTGGCTGGACTGGACAGGAGTGCTGGACCAGACGACCAAAATAGGAAAAGCAGAACTAGAATAGTAAAAAGGCTCTGCTACAGGTACCTTAAAATACCAAACAAAGATTGACAGGCTGACTTACTAGAACAGTTTGCTTCGATTGTGTTTGTTGTTTTGATTCTCGTATCTTACGTGGTTTTTAACATTTTTCAGACACTTTCAAAATCAAAATAAAAACAATCGAATTTGAAAATTCACTCACAGCTAGAAAGAAATAGGTCCCTTTTGAGTTTTGTGTGTGTGTGTGTGTGTGTGTGTATGTGGAAAGCTGGAGCTGAAGTTACTAAACAAGTAGAAACGAGATAATAAATACAATTATCTCGATTTTAAAATTATCTCTAAGCTAGCAGTAAAATGTGTTTCGAACCTAATGAAAGTGAATTCAAAAGTTATATCATTGTGCTTATGGACTAAATAAATCAAATCAAAGCACTTTTAAGCACGACATTTTGCTTTACCTTTTTTTTTTTTATCTTTTGATCATCACCTTTAAGTCACAATTATTCAGTTAAACGTAGACTTGTCCCGATTTACACATTTATCCTCTAGATTTCACCTTGCGCCACCTCAAACGACACTTAAAATAAAAATATCCAGACTAAAATTTCTCAATTTGGACAAAAACCTAACTATAGAAGGGTGACTTTGAGGCCAACTAGCTAGTACGTGTAGGTAAGTAGGTTTCTTATAGACTTTCTAGTCATGTTGCAACTTGCCATCTAGTGATTCTAGATATTATTTGTTGATTTATGCATCAAATTCTTCCTGATATACTCTTTCGGTCCTTAATAGAAGACATTTTGATTTATCTTAAATTTCACTTAGTATGTATTTTTAATTGAATAAAAAATTTTGAAAATATTTTATAATAATTAGAAAAACACAACGAATGTGAAAATATACTTTTAAGATTTTTTTTCCGATTAAAAATACATATTAAATGAAGTATATGAAAAAACAAAATGCCTCAACGTAAGGACCGGAGGGAGTATACTGTTAATATAGAGATGAGGGAAAAAGAGACTTATTGAGGGTTTTGTTTTTATCGGCTTTTTCCAAAGACTTACATGTGATTTACTAACATAAACACAGTAAATATAAACATGAATCAATGTGATTTTTATTCACATCTGTACAAGTTTTATTTGAGATTCTTATTTCTATTGGCGAATAAGTCCACAGTCCATACTGTGCATGAAAACCAAATGAATGCAGGTAGACAGCAAATCGAGATATCAATTGTTGCCCTAATGTGGAGAGAAGGCGTTTCGTGTCTGGTAATGAAATCAGGCACCAGTCAATTGTCAATTGTCAAGTGGCACCGCCTAACCATATCGTTGTAAAGCGTATAAGATAATGGTAGTGAAGTAGTTTCATAAGTTAATTAATTATTACAATTTATTAACTGAGTACTTCTTCAAGAAGACGCCTTTGTTTCCTTCATTACGCCCATAATCAAAGGATAAAGGTATTACTACTTTATTTCCTATGGAAACATGCGTTAGTTAATTAAGTGGATGATGCTAGCTACATTCTACGAGTTAAACTCAAATAATTTATTTTTTGTTTCTTAATGCGCGCGTACAATCATCATCCAGGCATGTTCATTTGGTCGGATGAAACATACTCTTTTTACACACACACACACAAAAGAAGAGTTTAATTTATCCCTGTTTTAATTTAATAAAATGATTTTTTTACCGATGAATTGAGTATATCCTCAAAAAATTATTGCTTTGTGAACTGAAACAGGGGACATGAGATTTTTATTTATTTATTTATTTTTGGGTACGTGGAGAGTAATATAAAAGATATGGCAGTAAATTAATCATTATACCATAATGAGGGAAGACATGATTGATGTTGCTTCAATGTCAAGTTTACTGTTGGTTGGATGGAGCAAGCAGATGACACCAATGAAGCTGATGTGAATTGTAAGCTTTAGAGCCTAGGGAGGCTCGCTATTGTAGTTGTTACATTTATGCACTCAATGGAGAGACTACATACAAATAAAATCAATCAAAGCGATTCTCAAGGGTTTGACGATAGATGGTATTTTAGGGTCCACAAACTTGGGTTATTTTGCTGATTAATTGCTGCCATGCACACAAAGAAAAGAAAAAAAAAAAAGAAGTGTTAGAACATGGGTGTTTTCTATTTCGGTAATGTTTTAATCTCTTGCAATTAGGTCTTGGTCTCAATCATTGTAAAAAAAAAAAGAAAAAAGAAGAAGAAAGAAATCTACCAATAAAAATGTACTCAAACCCTATCTTGTTGATGCATGTATAAAAGCGAATCCCTCTTTGCACGGTTGACCTCTACTGATATTCTTAAATGACTTGATGGTTCGAATTCTCTGAAAACCTTAATAGAATGTAGTAATAAAGCAAAGTTGATGCATAAAAAAAATTAAAGGATTTGACGATTTATGTAAATTCCTGTTTTTTTTTTTTTTTTCTTCTTCTTTTCGTGGTCATCTCTTTTGTAAACTCGTCAATGTAACTAAAAACGAGTGCACACCAAAAAGAGCAAGCAAGCGGTGGTGAGGAGGGAAAGGTGAAATTGGATGTGAGATTTGGTTGGGACTTGGGGCCATTACCATTTTTCTTTGGCATTACGACAAGGGTTTTTGGTAATGCGGTCGTCGCCAGGCAACAAAAACTTGCTAGATTTCCTTAGACTAACGTATCCAATAACACAATATATATGGTATCAATCAACAGATAGAAATATTAAATGAAAAAGCAGCACATGGCCAATACACCAAATCCCTTGGAATCCTTCCTCCCCTCAGTTGTTACACTATTGTTTTTGTCACTTCTCAGTACCTACAACATTTAAGGCACGAGTGGGTGCTCAATTTCAATCAATCCGAACGGCATTCCCTACCCCTTACGCAGCAGCGATGTCTTCGTATCTACTTTTTTTTTTTTTGCTTTTCAAATCACTAACGCCAATTCCTCCGTTTTAGTATGTATATGTTTTTGTGTGCTTTATATACATTTTGATATTGATTTTAAAGACATATATTTAGCCATCACCATTTAATTAATGTTTAGTAGCGGCATTGTAGCAACTCTGGTGATGGTCAACGAGAGTAATGATATATTTTTTTTCCTCCTAAGAAAACTGACTCGTCCGAATTGAAGATATTTTTCAATATTGGAGTAGAAAAACATCTGAGGATATTCAATTTTGGTGCAATGCTTCAAATATTGCTCCTATAGTCCTATTTCATGCCTAGTTAGCTTAAGTAGAAGTAAAAGTAGCATATATTGCTACTAATTTATTAGGTCAATTCATGTACATATTTACATCCTCGAATGGCACTTTAACCTCCAATTTCCTAATCAAAAGTGATGTTTATACTGCGATTCTCCTGATACTTGTCATCAGCTCTTGTGATTTTGTTCATTTCAAAATTCAATTTCGGAGCGATTTCCAAACAAGCTATCAAACAAATAGGGTAACGGAAATTAGTGGAGCAAAGTGTTTTGTTTTCATCTTCGCTTTCTATATATGTAGTACGACACAAAATTCCAAACCCTGAAAATTACCACTGTAAGATCCAAGTAATGTAGTGCTCAAAGATTACGTATTTAGAGCTCGATTCCCAATAATAGAGATAAAAAGATTTTATGTTATGCACAGAGTAACAATTAATTAATGAGTAGTAGTAGTAGTAGTAGTATGTTCTAAGAGGAATACTGTTCATATATTTTCATCTCTAAACAATACTGGTAATGGTTTGGCACGTACTAACATTTTCCAATAACATACTCATAGTAATGTTGATTTTTTTAAAATATAAATCCTACAACTCCACACGAGCTATTTATTTATCTATATTTTGTTTCAGGAATCAGGATTCGAGTAATCGAATGTTGTTTTGCTAAAATTAAATCCCATCCCAGTGAAGCAATAATAGAAGAAGAAAAGAAATCCAATGACGTGTCACGGCCCCAAAACTACAAGACACACATCAGTGGCTCCCACCAGTAACCCGGATAAATAGGCCTTTCGTGGCCCATTACTCGTGAGCTGAGCCACCTCTCTTCCCAGTTTCCCACCTCACTTCCCCCGTGTCTCTCAAAATTTCCCCATTTTTCAAACTCCAATTCAAAATTCACACACACTCACACACTATAACTCCCCTCCCCCCCTTTTCACCTTCCCCCCACACCACTCTCTCCGATTTCAGCTTAAACTTCTCTACCATTCCAGAAAACAAAAATTAAAAATCAGAACTGGAGAAAAAGATTGCTTTGCAAAATTCTGAAGGTACGGTGCGGTCATTAATGGCGTTCCCTCGCCTTGTCACTGTTACGAGTTTTGTATTTCTTTTTTTTTTTTTTTCCTCCACATCAACTTGCAATTATCACATTTATTTTAATTTTTTGTTTTATGTTACTTGTAGTAAATGTGAAGAGAAAAGAAATCTTCTCGTTCATTTATGGCTTTAAACGATGAACAATTACTGCTTCTTTTGTTTGTGTGTGTGTGTGTGAGAGAGAGAGAGAGAGAGAGATGGTGATAAACAGAGGCTAATGATTTTCTTCTTCGGTTTGTGTTTTTTTTTTTTTTTTTGGTTTCAGGTGTTTCAATTTTGAAAAGAAGCTGAGAAGGAAGCTGTAAGCCGAGCTCTGTTTTTTCTTTTTTCGCTTTTTGGTCTGGGGATGGTGTTGATGATGTTGGTGGTGATGAGTTCCGAGACGGTGCTCTCGTGCTTATTCCCGAAATTTACGACCTATTAGGAATTTTTCTATACGAAATCTCCAGTCTCTTTTTTTTTTTTTTCTTTTTGTTTTTTTCCTTCCTCTCTCTCTCCTTCTGTTTCTCCTTTTTGTATAGTAGAGAGTATTTTCCTCCTACCTTTTTTTTTTGTCTGTGGCTTTGAATTTTGAAAATGGAGGCAGCAGCTCGTCACCGGAGGACTAAAAGCGCCGCATCCATTGAAGGTCTTAATTCCTATCTGAATTATCTCTGATTCTATGCCTAAAACATGCAAATACTTCTGTGAAACATCCTGCTCACTCGCTCATTAGTCGTTTCAGAAATCGAAATGGCTGAAAATTGGACAGATTTTGGCCTTTTGGATTTGATAGAAAATTCCAACTTCTAGAGTTCTGAGGGAAACCAAAAATGCAGTTTCTACTTTGTTATTTTCTGAGAAAATTAAAGCAAAAATATGGATCAAAATTGATTTTATCTGAATGAAATTTAGGTAACAGCGGCAGCTAATTTGCTCGCTCTTGATTGAAATAGAAATTATCTATGGTTTGGTTAGATTGACTACCTTATCTGTACAGTTTTTGTTAATAATTTTTTTGCTGGTATATTTTTTAAAAATTTAACTTGTGGATGAATTTTGCAATTTAGACATTCTCTCTGAAAGTCCAGGGCGTCAGTACTTGCTTGTGAAAAAAATTTTGCTAAGGAATGCCATGTTATAAGCTATCATATCCTTGATTACGGAAACAAGGACTGGTTAAAACTAAGTTCATCGTATTTCTCTGCTCTAATTTAAGCTATTTTAAAACTCTTTATTGTTCCTTCTCCACAGCCAGAAACAAAAGAGGAGAGTTTCAATCCTTATTCATCAGTCAAAGGGCAGACAGTTGTCTTTTGATCTAATGATGTTTGCTTTTCTCAATCGGCTCTACTCCTACTTTTTTAATAACAAGGTTTCTTTCCCATGAAGTAGGGCCTGTTTTTGGTAATGGCCTAGGCATGATTTTGCTCTTGTCTCTACCAGGGGAAAGGAACATATTGTAGTTGTTGGGCCTTTCCCCTCCGGAATTTTCTCGCCTTCTGTTGCTTAATACCTTCCCTGGAAATTTGTTTTCCTAGATTGTCAGTTATATTCACTTTGAATGCATTTACACAACTTACGGTATAAGGATAATATTTTATCTGCTATAATGAGTGTACCTGTTGAATTTTTACCTAATTTATTGTTTCATTTTATTCAGGAAACCTTCAGAGTCAAAGACAAAAAAGTAGTCCTATACTGAGCTCTTATAGCTGTGCAGCCCCTAAGGAAAATTTGGTAAGCTGCAAACTACTGGAGTAGGCAGAACTTTTATTTTAATCCATGACATCAATGCATTAAATAGTTCTTGTGTTAGTTCAGTTAAATTATGTTTATGTCTTTATCTCTGCATGAGCAACTGTGAAAGTTTGATATTTCCAGTTGCAGAACTCTGTAAAACAAGGAAGTGGCACACCTATAAAGAAGCTACTAGCTCAAGAAATGGTAAAAGATAATGAAACTCGGAAAAAACAACCAAGTGTTATTGCTCGATTAATGGGTCTTGATGGACTCCCATCCCCACAGCCAATCCATAAGCAGCAGAGAAAGTTGGAGAAGAATGTGAAGCAGACTGCCTCAACATACCTTCCTCAGAAGGAGCAATATTTTGAGGATCAACCGTCTAGGATTGAGTCAATTGATCAACCAGAGTTCAAAGATGTGTATGAAGACATGGAAGCTTCACATGTCATGAGTCATCGTTGTTCCTCAAGATGGACTACAAATTCTAGGCTTTTGAAGCCAGAGATGGCCCACTTACAGCAGAAGTTTACGAGGAAAAAAAGCCATCCAAGTTATGACGAGCTTAATGGTACTCTCTCAATTATTGACTCAACTAATGAGCTGCTGCTGAAATATCTTGAGCATCCGGATGTCTTGTTTTTGAAGCATTATCGTACTTTGCAAGATGATCCTTCCAGTTCTCCATATAGTCACATGTCGTCATTGGAACTATCAAACTCTGTCGAGCATCAAGGATATGCTAAAGTTCAGAGGCTGACAAGAGATGGTGTGCACAAACATGATAACACCCGCAAGAAACGTGCAGATGGTCTTCTTCTGCAGTCTCATAATCATCAAGGTTCACGTAATAGTTGGCAATTATCACGCAATCAAGCGAACGTGAAAGATGATGTAAACCCATCTACAACAAGAATTGTTGTTTTGAAACCAAACATAGGTAAGAGGGTTAATACAACATGTGTTCCATCCCCAGAGTCCTCACATGCATCTTCCCCGACCACAAGGAAACGTCTGCAGTATACAGGGTCTAGCAATGGGGACACATTATCATGCAGAAAAAAGAATTCATCCAGAAAAACATTCTCCTCGAATTCCACTTCCAGAGAATGCGAAGATGTTTCCAAGGAAAGTACTATGGAAACAATCAAATATCTCGAACCTTCCACTGGTCTTCGAGGATATGCTGGAGATGAGAGTTCTTATGATGCCTATGAAAGCGACTCTTCCAGTGCATCAGAAGTGATGATGATGTCTTCTAGAAATTCTTTTGATGGGAGTGACTGGGTCAGGCGTTCATCTTCTGGTCCATTTGAATCAGTGGTGAGCAAGGAAGCTAGGAAAAGACTATCTGAGAGATGGAAGATGGCCTCCAAGTTCCAAAGTTCGGAGCCTTCTGCCAAGGTTAGCACCTTAGGGGAAATGCTGGCTGTACCTGAAAAGGACAGTGTGCAACAACATGCTGAGGCTGGAACTGCTCTGGATGAGTCCAGTGAAAGATTTCTGGGCAGCAGTAATAGTTCAGGCTGGGATGGTCCTCGGGGTATCAGCAGCAGAGATGGCTGGAAGGAAGGATACATCAGAACTTCGTCTCGTTCAAGATCTCTTCCGCCTTCAATTGGGAACAGAAATCGTAAAACACATGGAAGGCGTGAAACAAATGCAGGTGACTGTGTGAAGAAGGAAAAAGATACCAGGAAAATTAAGTCAAGGAAAGGAGATCTCAGGAATGATGGTGATATTTCAGAAAAAGATGATATCTTGAGCAATTTTAAATCTGACCCTTGTCTTGACAAATTTGTGGATAATAGTGGCTCTTCACGAGATGTTAGTTCCTATCAGGTTCGAGATGTTAATTTTTCGCAAAGGGTTCAGCATGAATCGAACTTTGTTTGCACCCAAGCACCTCATCGCACGGATTCCTCTGGATGCTCTATCAGGGATTTACCCACAAATGTTGAACCTGAGCCGTTGCCGTTATCTTCTGACCCCTTCACTAACTTGTATCCCAAGCATGGTGATTCATTCATACCACCTGATGGTTCTTCTGCTCGAAACCAAGAAGATATAGCTCTAGAGGTATGACTCTTAATCATAAGTCATGCTATTTAAGTTGCTCTGGTCTTTCATTCCAAAAGCTGGCATGTAGAGCTCTCAACTCAGGCTTTGGTTTATTAATGGCTTAGTTGTTAGTTTGTTTCTGGAGGGGTAAAAATGACGTCCTGGTTAAAGGGCATATATTATTTAGACCTGCATATCAACCTTACAAATTTCTGAACTTTTTGATTTCTTGTTTGCACAATAACGAAAGAAATATTAGGCTATTCTCATCATTTTCATTTTATAGAGGGTGTCAAGAGTTTGTTTCTGAGAGGATGCACATGTTCATTCGTTTCCGCTATCATCATTTTAGATGTTTGGGTTTCTGAGGCCAGCTTAACTAGTAGTCTGAGATAGCATTGGTGATTGGATTTTAAAGCGCGTTTCATGCTTCTCCTTGTTCTTTTGTCTTGTCACTGAGAGCTAAGATGTGAAATGAAAGTTATTTGGGAATCAATTGTTTTACTCTTATATGACCTGAGTTTTATCAGGTTGTTTAAAGAGCAAAGGAGCTCATGCACTACATCAGATGCTTTCTGTTTTTCCATATGTTGTATTGAGAAAACTATTCTTCTCTGCTTTAAGGAGTTATCCAACAGAAATATAGATGCGGTTAGGCAACTTAAAGCCCTTTCGTATACAAGCGTAAATGCTTTTCTTTTGTATGATGTGAGCTTTCCGTTTTGGGATTTATATTGCCTTCTTCAAACTGGTTGTGTAAGAACAACCCATAATGAATGTGTTGTTTCAGGAACCTGTGTTGGTATCAGAAGCGAAGTCTGCTTCCTTTGAGAGTTGTGGGCTTGAACTAGAATCCTATGAAAGCTCTAAGGAGGCTGATCATTGTAGTCCAGTTTCTGTTTTGGAGGTTCCTTTCCCAGAGGATGTATCATGCAGTCCAGATTCCTTTGAGATAGTTAATGCTAAAATCAAACGTAAGTAAACAAATCAACAGTATTGGAATTTAAAGTTGTTAAAATATAGTAATATATCATTCAGCATTAAATATTTACTCTGGTGTATCACCGACCTTGGTGGACCAGTTTAGTGGTTTTATCAATTATTTGTGTCAGGAGTCATTAACTTCCTTTCCTTGTTTTTCTCTGTTTTTGTTCCTGTTAGAACTACGAATTGAATTGCAGCTCCTCAAGATGGAGTCAGACGGTTGTACAGATACTCCTATGCCTCTCTCAAACAACCTAGACACCATGCAGCGTCAACCAGGAAAGATCTTTGAAGAGGAACAAATTGTAGGAGATGATACTTGGGAATCTTCTTACATAGATGACATGCTCCTCTTTTCTGGCCTTGAGGATTTCCACCCCAATACATTAAACTTGGCGTCATGGCATTCTCCTGAATGTCCTATAGGTCTATGGGTGTATAACAGTCTTGAGAAGAAGTACACTGATGAGAGAACTGAGCTCAAGTTTGAAAGAAGACTGTTGTTTGACCTCGTCAATTCCGCTCTTCTGGAATTGTTCCAGCAGTACATAAGCAGGTCCTATTCATTGCAACCTTTAATGATTGGAGTTCCAAAATGGCAAAGACATGGGATCAAAGAACATTTGAAGGAGATGCTATTTCGCCAGGAAAATATGATGAACAAAGAGAAACTGGAAATCACGCTGGATAGGGAAATGAACTGGTTAGGGTTCAGAGATTCAGTTAAAGCCATAGGGGAGGATATTGAGAAACTGTTGATAGATGACCTTATAGAAGAGCTTCTAACTGTGTAGGGTTCGTAGCAAAACTCAATGCATTGTACTGATTGGTGATGGTTACGAAGGCTGGTGAATTAGATGGAATGTTAGTTCTAGATGAATGCTGCGGCAATAAATGTGCTAAAGAACAGATGTTGCATCATATGTTTGTTGAAAATTTTGTTGATAGCGAATCATTTAACTAGGCGTTCACCTAATTTTGTGATATTCTCCCAGTCCCAAAATTAGAGTAGTATTATTTTCTTGCGAGGGAACTTCATGTCGTGCCCTTGTTTTTGTGGTGCAGAGCTTGACCCCTTTCCTTCTACATGAAGAATCCAGGAGCTAACAAAAATTTCAGGGCTTTCTTTTTAGAACCATGATTTGTAATTGTGGGAGCTATCAGGTTTTAGATAGAATTCGATGAGCAAGTATATTCTTCTTCTCTTATCTGCTGCATGCAGTATTTATGATATCATTACTCTTTTCAGGAGGCTCAATTATCCCTTTTTCCACAACTTCCAAGTGCGTAAAAAAATGGGAAGGGACAAATAGCTGTCTGATTTTTTTCAAGAAGAAAACAAAAGGAATGTGTTTAGTACAGTACTAAATTTAAGGCCTGACTTAACCCTTAAAACCTGCCCTAATCTTCTAAGCCCATGACGAGCTATCTTCTTAGGAAAGTGCAGGTTAAATAAGTATATCTACCGGGGAATCTAAGTTTACCTGACCTCACGGGTGTTTTGTTCTAGAGGGTTAATTAGCCAGAATTCGCCCTCCGTCACGGGAGTAGGGATTTATACTTGTGTAATTACTTTATAAGCTATCATTTTACCCAAAAAAGATGAAAAGTACCCCATTACAATATATGTTTAAGATGTTTCTTGTACACGTCATCATAAATCAAAGAAGTTTTACATTTTCGAACTTTTTCTTTCTTACCCGTGCTTGAATTAGGAATTGCTGCATTTGTGTAACCTGTGAAATTACCTCAACTTTTGCCAACGCAAAAAGCACGAATGGTGTCAATATCAAATTTTCTTAAAACTTTAGTATTTCTCTTAGAGTTTGATGAGCGACAGCAATTACTGAAGAAGAAAAAGGTCGCCTTAGTGATACCTTAAATTGGAACACCAGTACGGAGCTTCACTAAGGTATATTTTTAATTAAAGAAATCAGAGGAAATCCTTATTTTTCTTTTGTACAAAAGAAAATGTCTAAAAGATACGGCATCTCATCACAAACCGACCTTAGCTCAGTTGGTAGAGCGGAGGACTGTAGTGGGAATCCAAAGACATCCTTAGGTCGCTGGTTCGAATCCGGCAGGTCGGATTTTACATCTTTTTCCTACCTTTTTTGGTTGGTTTTGTTTTTTTTTTTTCTTCGCCCACAATATCTTCAACCCCAATTGCGCAGCCCAAATTTTTCTCGGCGACTTAAGCCCAATTGTGGAATGGTCATGTTTTGCGCAGTACTCTCTCCTTCTCCTTCGTGATTTCGTATTGAAGCCGAATACGAAATGGTCAATTTTTAAAATTTTTATTTTTATTTTTTGAAAGGGTACCTATATTATTAGGGTAAATTCCATAAGTTATTACGTCGCATACGATTGTAAGCTAAATCATGTGTTTCTAAGACATCACACCTACGCACTTTAGTCAGTGTACATTCTGCAAAAGACGAAATTAAAGCATCTAATAATAACAGAACTTCACGTGACTCCGATTGTACCAAGGAAGATGTACGATCATGAGTCAGTACTTCACAGTTTTACCAAGGGAGATGTACAATCATGAGTCAGTACTTCACAGTCCGTAAAAACCTAGATTTTATCCAGACCAAAGCTTGCCGCTTCATGCAAAGCCAATAAACATGTCTTGCCTTCTATTTGTAGCGGTGTAAGAGCATTAATGCTCACTGTTTTAAGTTGCATAACCATTCAATGAGGCGAAACGATTTCCCAAGCTCCTGCTGCTTTCCTCGTTTGATGACTAAAAGAGCCATCAAAGATAATCAAAGTAGTATTCGCAATTCTCTGTGTTGCACTTTGCCGTCGCCGGATGGCATTAGGAGAGGTTGTAGAATGCTTTTAGAGAAGGATGCGTGCATCAGATTGGATAAGACCCCATGAAACCGCCGGATCATGAGGCTGATTCCGCCAAATGCGATGGAAATGGTCAAATTGAACAACCTTTTCTTTGTCTTTCATTTAAAGTGTAAACTCCTAATTCGTTGTTTTAGGGCGTACTGTCGTTAATGAATAAGTTAGACTTTTGTATCATCTATTGTAAGGGGAAAAAAGAAAACTCAACTTCTTTTTGGGTGTCATTCTAGATTTCTAGTTCTTCATAACTTCTTCATACGTTCGGGATTAAATTCTTTTTGTCTAAATGCATGTTTTCGCTCAGTCTCTCTTTTGCGTGTACCCTGGAATCAATTACGGCCTTCCACATTATTATTTTGCTAGATCATGAACATTTTTTAGGCACAAAATATAGGCTGGAAAGATTAACATTCAAGAATTGTAAGCAAATCAAGCCTATACTGTTTTGATTAAAAAAAACCCATCATTGATAGAATCCGACCAGAAAGAGTTATGGAAACGAAAGGCTACGGCACCATCTATACATATAGCAATGCAAATTGACATCCAATATCACCATAGAATTCTACACAGAAAAGAATGAAAGAAAAAAAAAAAAAAACTAGTTTGATTAAGAGACGATAGCAGTAGGCTGCGGCGGCTGATTGAGGCTGTTTCTGGCGATTCCCGACGAGTTATTCTGGGCAGCGGCCGGTGGTGTCCATAATTGAGCAGTCTTCACCTTTGATATACTGGCAAGCACCCCAAGTGGCGTTACGTTCCCGACCACCGTCACTTTTTTAGCTGCAAAGTCTATGTTGAATGATGATACACCTGTTTACACATACACTTCTAGATGATTAGTACTTGCGAATAATCGAACAATTTCTATGCAATTTTGTAGGAAGAAATGCAATTTTAATGATCTATCAGAACATGGGTTTTAGTATGAAGCAGGTGAGGAGTTTAATAATCGTGTGGAAGGTTAGCTGATAAGAGCAATTTAACATTATGCAAGTGTTTTTAGTTGAAGGGTTCAGACTTCAGATTATCCTTTTTGGTTTTCTCTTCTGGATTTTATGTAGACACTTAGAAGAAAGAGACAAAGCCCTGTTGATAGAAAATTGATGATATATGACAAAGAAAGAAACAAGAAAAATTGTGTGCACCTTCCATTCTGGATATATGTTTCCTCATCTTTCTCTCGCATCCTCTGCAATGAAGTGAAACTCTAAGAACCACCACCTGCAATTAAGAACACACAACTCATGATTTCCTTTCGCATATTATCAACCCCAAAGCTGATTAAAGTTGACATGCTAATTGATTTTTTTTTTTTTTTTGTACTAAAGTGAGCAAAACAGAGTGGTGTGACAGTTTAGTTGTCCAAGAAAAATCTGACCTGGTCGGAAGAGGGCTGCGTTGTGGACGATGATTTAACATCAATGGTAGTTGGTTCTGGTTTTGGCTGGGCGGGGGCCGGAGAAGCCGGTGGATTAGACTTGGGATGATCTTCTTCCACTTCCAGCTTCAGAACAGGATCAAAATCGGAGATGACATTGAAAATTGTATTCTGATTTTGATCATTACTCAACAAGTACCTAGTGGAACCAACAGGACTAACAGTACTAGTAAAAGTACAGCTCCTTCTCCTTGGTGTGGAAATGCTAGCCATCAAATCGTTTCTGCTGATAAGATTATCATCATAACCAGAGTCACCCCCATAACCCTTTTTCTTATCCTCGATATCTATTGGACTCAGAGGTTTAGATATGTCCACGGATCTCCTGCTGATGATCTTCTTCTTCTTCTTCTTTTTGTTTTGAGTATCGTTTTCGGGTTTTTCTTTTCTGGGCTCAGAAAGGGGTTTCTTAAGGGGACTGTTTTTCTTGATGTTTTGGTCATTATGGTGAGATTGGAGCAATGGTACAGGGCTAATAACTTCTTGCTGGGACTGAGAAGAGCAAGAAGAAGGAATAATAGGATGAGGGATGGTTCTGCCTAGTCTCCTCGGGTCCTTAATTATGGGATTGTGACGGTCGATTGCTCGACCGCTGATGCTGCCGCCGGCGAGTTGAATCGTCGCGGAGGAAGAGGATAACAGGGAGGGATCGTTTTCATCATCCATATGTCCTAAGCGAATGGCAGTGGCAGCTTGGGACGCACAGAATATATCTATTCCCTTCATCTTCTTTTTTCCTTTAATCAAGTGATGAGGTGTAATAATTGAATGGGAACTGTTAAATGTAATTATGCTTCGGGAATCTGCAAAACTTTAGAAGGATATTGTGGAGTTTGGAATATTAGAGATGGGATATGAAATGGCAAAAAGGAAAGAACTTAGAGAAGCAGCGTTAGGCAAAAGGAAGAAAGTGAAGATGCTGGTTTTTTTTTGCTTTTATGGTTATTCTTCATCCACCTATGGATTCTCTAACCTAATTTCTCTTCCATTGATAGAAATGAAGCTTGAAAGGGTGGAAGGAAGAACAACTCAAAGAAGAGGACCACTAGACAAGAGATGACAATTCTGAGATAAAAACCAGGAACCAAAGAGGCTGCTGAATATATTATACTAGTAGAAATTACTCTTTTGCTGTATATCTACTGAACTGGCCCTGTATAGCAAGTAATTAGAACCCTGGAAAATTTACAGTGGTCCGCAACAAATTACAGCTCAGTTATGTAATTTATCTGATTATCTCTGACTAACACAGTCAGTCAGTGTGTGTGTGTGTGTGTGTGTGTGTGTGTTAGAGTAAGCATGCAATTAGATCTAGTTCTATCTCGTTTGCAAAAAGTACTGCATTTGGGACTTGGTTGCCAGAGCATAACAGAATACTGTTCTAGGAATAAGGCCTAATAGAGTGTCACCACCAAATCATCCAAAAATCACAACCTAATTCAGAAAGCTCCAACTGAAATTGCCTCAATTAGCCATCTGTCTTACTCTCTTCTACCGACTCTCAAATCCTTTTTAACCTTATTCATCTCTTAAAATTTTAACCACCGCCACCACCATATCATTCTCGTTTTTTCCCCCAACGAAGGAAGGAGAAATGACGTTATAACCTGAGACCTTTTTCTGGAAGGACAACAAATAGTAATTCCAAGTTTATCTAACTTCGTGAATACGTAGGTTTTTAAGGTAATTAACGTTGTAACTTATTACTACTGATAAATCTTAGATCCTTTTTTGTCCCACAAATTCCACGTTTCCCGTCGAGAATCGTTTGTTGCTGACAGAGAAATGTTAAAAAAACAGAGAATCGGTCCAAGTTCTCTCAGATTCAGTAATCGAGGGGGAAGGATAGATTTACGAAATTAAAACATACTACTACTACTACTTGGGAAGTTCATTATCCAATCAAAATTTTTAGTTTTGATTAAAGGAAGTCCCAGATATCGGAGAGAAATTTACAGAGAGAGATTCAGTGAAAGTTCCCAAACAATGCGTTTGTTCTTGGTTCTAATTCCGCATGTAGACAAGCATTGAATTGAACCCATTAAAATTTACTGAGATTCAGTCAGTAACTTCCCTTTAATCCCACTTCTTTTTTTTTCTTTTTCTTTATTTTTTTCCACTGACTGAGTAAATAAAAATGGCGTGCCCTACTGCTATTATGACTTGAATAGGATCTGTCAGAAGAAGAGGTTGGTGATTATATTTATACGCCTATGGCCTTTTCTGATCTGCACGAGGGGACGATTTCAATTAAAAATACATATGAGAATGGCCAGTCCAGAGAGAGTCTCAGGACAGTGAGCAACGGTTAAATTTTTTCCATAAAACGACAGGCATTTGCCCGCACAAAAGGGTTTCTTTTCGCAGCTTCAAAGCTTCACAATTTATGATTGTGTTTCTTTGTCAAATTATCGATAACACCAATGCCAGGAAACAAAATAGACCCTCTCCACAATTTGCACAACCACAAGACGTTTTGCAATTCAATTAGTCCCCACATGCATTAATAGTTAACACAAACTGATATTATTCTGGTTATCGAGGTGTCTATTAATCAACGAGAGAATTTGTCACTGTTGTATTGACGATTTTGATACCTTGCATTAATGGAAAAAGTTTGAGAATGTACACATTTGACATTTGTACATTTATTAAAGGATAGTAGTATCATTTTACAGATATGTGTAGTCTTCTAGCAATAGCAAGAGAATGGTGATTTTGATATGATAGATTGGTCCACATTATTAAAACCGGATAGTGATGAAATTAAATTTGAAAGGGGTCCTCTGAGCCTATTCTGCTAAGGTTTTTTCTCCCATTCACTCACCCCAATCATCCATCTCCAATTATTACCCACTGAATCCTGTGCATCTTTCCTACTCTCTCTATATTGGTGTCGTTGAAAGTAAGATTTGGTAGGCATTCTGATTCTTGACTTATTCAATACAAGTGGTTTTCATTAAGGGGTTTCTTTCTGTTCTTTCTTCATTAAGATGAAGAAGTTTGAAAGCAAACCATCTTAAGAGCTCTCTACATTTTTATAAAAAGAACATGTCATCACCACGGTAATAATGTAATTAGCCCGTCCGTCCGTCCCATTTTGATAGTCCATTTGTATGGAATGGGATAGGAAGGGTACTATGTTTGGAAGATGAGGGAAAAACCACGACAAAAAAGGGATGCTTTGGTAGCTGGATTATGGTCTAATTGGGTGCAATGATAACTATTGCAGTGCTGCTGTACTGGAGAAAACCCAGAAAAGTGGTTTTTAAGTACATGAAAAAGGCAACCACATGCAATAGAATATAGCGAGAAATTTCATGGGAATTGATTATTGAAGTTGCAGATTCTGAAGGAACATATGCTGTTTCATTTATCCACGAAACTGAAATCACATTTTTACTACTTTAGTCCTCTTTTTCGATTCTTCCCTGGGAATTTAAAGAGTTAAACACAAAGCTACTTTGAATGGCCACCATTTGTCAAAATTCCGCCACCCAAAAGCTTTTTTAGGAACCTGATTCTTTGGGTTTTATGCTTTAAATCTTTTGGCCATTATATTCCAGAGTTGCACTACTTATAACAGTTCTGACCCAAAAAAAAAAAAAATCCTAAAGATATTTCAAACACTGAAAATTCTCCTCTGTTTCATGAATGCATTCATTCTGCTTTCCTTTTCACTAGGTAAAAACACCCTCTTTCAGTCTTTTGCTATGCAACTTTGTCTTCCTTCTTGTATTAGGGTATGGGCTACAAAAAATAGATATATTTTCGGGCCAGGTGCCTGTCCATGTCTTTCGAGCTTTCGGACTCCAAGGGCTCAATTTAAATAAGTTTTTGTTGGGCGCAGCAAATGAGACGAACTTGATTCACTTTTGGGCCCTCTTTTATTCTTCTTGGAGATTGATATTTGTAGTTATAAAAATTGCTCGTTGCGTTACAACGATTTTGCCCCTTTTCTTCCAATTTTTTCCTTCGTTCCTCTTATTTTTCTCCTTTCTTAAAAAATATAATTATTGATATTACTCATTTAAACAAACTAATAAAAAATATAATCAACATTAAATTAAATTTCATTTATATAAACAACAATCAATAATACTACTCATTTGAATTTAATTAAATTTAAAAAATATAAACAACAAAGATTAATACTACTCATTTAAAAATTAATAATTATTTAAAAATATAATAAATATCTAAAATGAATATAATACAAAAAAATTGAAAAAAAATTAAAAAATAAATTCTGGTCAATGGTAGCCAGTAAGAGAGGTAACCGGTTCCGGATCGGCTACCTATCCTTGGGTAGCCAGTTCCAAGCCCACTGGTCCTCCTTAGATAGCCGGTTTCGGGCCAGCTACCCTAACCAGAATTTTTTAAAAACTTTTTTCTTTTTTTTTGTGTCATATTCATTTTAGTTATTTATTATATTTTTCAATAATTAGTTCTTTTAGATGAGTAGTATTAATTTTTGTTGTTTATATTTTTTTAAATTTAATTAAATTTAAATGAATAGTATTAATAATTGTTGTTTATATAAATGAAATTTACTTTAGTGTTAATTATATCTTTGTGTTATTATTATTATTATTTTTTGCTATATTCATTTTAGTTATTGATTATGTTTTTTAATAATTAGTTTGTTTAAATGAGTATGATCAATAATTATATTTTTCAAGAAAGGAGAAGAAATAGTAGGAAGAGGAGGAAGAGGGCAAAATTGTCCTAACGACAGCAAATGAGTAATTTTCATAACTGCAAAATGCAATTCAGTTCTTGTTATCTTAGGAAATTAAAAAGGAATTCTAATCACCGACTTCAAAAGTTGAACTTAAAAGCACCAGTCACACAAGTACATACATATTGTGTATAACAAAAGAATCAAAACTTAAGGATCGAATGGATTGATGTTTCATACCACTGATCCAAATGAACTGCTAAAAAACTTTCGTATGTTGTATGTGTGATTCTTTTTTAAGTGAAAAAATACGTAAACAAAGTGAGGCTGACATGAATAAACACATACACGATATGCATACCGTAATCATGCTATGCTATACATTCTTCTACTTCTGAAGACCTCCCCTTGGATCACTTTCCTTTGCCTTCGTCTTCGTTCAAAATGCGATTCCTAAAATCTGTCACCATTCGAGGCAACCCCTCCCTCAGGGACACCTTGGGCTCCCAGTTAAGCAGCTCCATTGCTTTGCTAATGTCAGGTTTTCTCTTGTGAGGATCATCAGCTGTGTTTGGTTTGAATTCAATTGTTGCACTTGAATCAATTGTTTCTTTGACAACCTGCATCAGAGTAAGAAAAATTATCGGCAGTTCGGACATTGCTGGGAGGGAATGATTCAGACATAAAGGATCTGCAAAGAGCATGAAACTTTGACGAACCTGGGCAAGCTCTAACATAGTGAACTCTCCAGGATTACCCAAGTTGAAAGGCCCAATATGCTCTCCTTCCATCAGTGCCACCAATCCATCAACCTAGGTAGCAAAAACTGAGATGTTAGCAAAGCTTAACCAAACTTCACATTGAACTTTTTCTCTATCCTGGTAGGTGAAAGAGCACGTTTATTTCTAGTCTAACCAGTTCCACAAATGTAAGAAGCCCAACAGGTTACAAAATATTTCAACTGTCATACTTTAAATATCAGCAACGGCACCAAGGGCTAAAAATACCGCCACTCACCAAGTCAGAAACGTATTGGAAGCTTCTTGTTTGCTTGCCATCACCATAAACTGTAAGTGGTTGTTTACGAATGGCCTGTAGAAACCAGCTTCCACAGTCAAGCAAGATAATTGATCACAACATGAAAGTGAAAAGCAGCATTCAGTCTGCACTTTATTTGGAAGCTGTTCGGGGGCAAGTTTCATGGCATCTTAATAAAACCACAAGGGTCAAGGACTAACCTGTGCAACAAAGTTGCTAACGACACGTCCATCATCTAAACACATTCGAGGTCCGTATGTATTGAAGATACGTGCAATGCGCACCTGTACAGCACAATCCACAAAATGACGAAAACACTTAATTTGTACACCCTCACCCTCCCTCAGCATATACATGGTAATGTAAGTCAATAACAACTTTGCAAAAATAAAAGAAGAGAACTTTAGTAGCTAATTAGTTAAATTTTAGCGATACACCACTATGGTTATAGATTACGATTTTGTATCAGTTGCCAAATTTTGAAGTTATGAGGAATCTGTAAAAAAGCTACCAAGTAAGCATAACAGAATCAAAAAGACCCAAAATCCTTCACCAGTTATAAAAAATGTAACAATTCCAAAATGTAGATTGAACAAGTAAATCCCCAAAAGGTACTTGTGATGGCAAATAGTCAGCTACTAGTATGCACATATCTAAGTTAAGGGTAAAATGCACAGTACTCGACAAATCAATTTTGTGAGAATTTTGCACTCATCTCCCTAATACTTTGTGAGATGAGTAAAATGCACAGTACTCGACAAATCAATTTTGTGAGAATTTTGCACTCATCTCCCTAATACTTTTGAGTACAGAAATATACCTCAACACCAGCACCACGGTGATAGTCCATGGACAATGTTTCAGCTGTACGCTTCCCTTCATCATAGCAACTTCGAACCCCTAAAATAGATAAAAAGAAACTATCCACTTTACAACAAACAAAAACACATGTATCGAATTCACAGAAAGTTTTCAGAGCTTCTGCTTACCAATAGGATTAACATGTCCCCAATATGTCTCCTTCTGAGGATGCTCAAGAGGATCTCCATAAACTTCACTTGTACTGGTCAGCAAAAACTTAGCGTTGATCCTCTTGGCAAGACCCAACATATTAAGCGTACCCATCACATTTGTCTTGTAATTTACGAGTCAAGGAGAACTCAAACCAACATCATCATTATATAACACTACAACGCATAATCACTCAAAACATAAAAATAAACACGCTATTCAGTCAGTGCCGCAGCTGATCAAAGCAAACATTTCATCAAAATAACTTGTAAAACAGCATATAATTAAGGATATGATAGTTTTGACTGGATTGTACTTGTAATGGACAGGAGAGGCAGGGCAAGCCAAGTGATAGATCTGATCCACCTCCAACAGAATGGGCTCGACAACATCATGCCTAATCAGCTCAAACCTAGGATTCCCAAAATGGTGCATCACATTTTCTCTCCTCCCAGTGAAGAAATTATCAATCACGATCACATCATCCCCTCTGGCAATCAACTTATCCACCAAATGACTCCCCACGAAACCCGCTCCGCCGGTCACCACCACCCTCATCCTTCTCCGCAATATATTCGCCGGAACTCTTCCAGTCCCCTTGCCGTTAGTATTGCCACCGGAACGGTATGAATCAGACATGGAAGACCACCCATTTGAATACACGGATTCGTGGTTCACGGGGAAGTGTGATCTGGGATGAGGGTGGTCGGTGGAGGAAGGATTGAGGAGGGAAAGGCTGGGCTGGAGGATGAAGAATGTGGACCCAATCAGAATGCCAACCAGAATGAAGAGAAGCCTTTGTTCCCTGAGGAGATAATTGAGAGATCTGGGCAAAGATCTGGTTGGGTGCTTGAGGGATTTGGGTGAATACGGCGGAGTTTGTCCGGACGACGGCATCTCCTCGTCTCGCCTGTGATTCGTGCTGGATTGTTTGTGTAATTGTTTCATGGCCACCGGCTCTGTTGGAAGCTTTTTGGCTTTTGTTATCTTCCCCTAATCGTAAACCTTAATTTTTGTCGACACACAGGTAAAAATTAAAAAATAAAAACGATAGTAATTAAAAAGGTGCGATCAAAATCAAAAGGTAAAAAAGAACCTTCTGTAGATCTTATGAATTATTCAGGTGATGAAGAATCAGAGCAGTGTTTGTGTTGGTGTTGGGGAGATAATTAGATAAACAGAGTAATACAGAAAGAAAGAAAGGAATGCTGGTACAGTGAAGTCAGTTATTACTCCTTTAAGCAATTTTTTAGTTTATTCATTCGTAGTTTATGTCTTCATTGTATGACTTTTCATGAAAATAGTTATTATTGGTTATACACGGTAATGATTTAAATATGGACATAGCCTATAGGGGAATTGCTATGTTACTAGCGAAAAAAAAAGCCTATATCGAAAAGTTTTATCTCCAAAAAATGACATATTTGACTCATCTTCGGAATATCAAAAAGTAGTTAAAAAAAATGAAATAATCCCTCCGTCTCATAATTACTGTCCAATTTGAGTTTTTATTTTTAGTTCAAATTATACTAAAATTGAAATCTCAACCTAGACAATAATTTTGGGACAGAGAGAGTACTACATTCTTTTATTTTTCTTCCTTCGAGGAAATAGTATGCATGCCTCTTTATTTTGTTCCTTTTTTTTTTTCAGTTTTGGTAAAATACATCTATTTGTCACCTAACACTCTCGAATCTTGATGTTTAGTTTAGTTACGAATTTAATTAATAGGCTAATATAATTGGCGTTTTTTTTATATTGATAATGACATATGCTTTATTAGACATTGGCTTTGACTTTGACCAGATTCTATGCTTTCTTTTTGTAAAAACTTTCATGTAGCTTGTAAGCCCCCTCTCGGTATTTCCTGGGTGATCGCCCCCCAATATATTTAATAATTGCTACAAAAATCCCACCACAAGTTTCACGGTTTATAAAAATTGTCGGTGCATAAAACTCGAGTATTAGAATTGCGCGATTATAATAAAACACTGAAGTTGTTCTTGAACGAAATGATGGTTGAATTTGAGTTTGTAAATGTAGAGATGAAGGTTTGGTCGACAAAGTTTAGGGAAAAAGATAATATGAAATGAATGATTATTATTCATATTTAATGATAATTAGACATATATTCGACTATTTATTATAACTAATCAGTCAACTAATTTGACCTATTACTTGCTATCCTCTATGTTTGTAATATATACAAAAAGACCCCAGTCAATCTATACAATTATGCACATTAATCCAATCAGCACTATATACAAGTATATTCTATGTACAACTATACATATTTACATCCCCCTCAAGCTGGACATTGAAGAAAATTCTTCAGTCCAAGCTTGTCCAACAATGGTGCAAACTGAGGATAAGGAATTTATTTGGTGAACAAATCAACAACCTGCTGTTTGGAGGAAACATGCAAAGGCACAACAAACCCTTTGGAGTAATGATGCCTCACAAAGTGGCAATCAATTTCCAAGTGTTTGGTGCATTCATGGAATATTGGATTCTCTGTGATGTATATTCCAGAGGAATTATCACACTAAAGAGGCACAGGAAGCTGCACTGAAATTCTGAAATCTACAAGAAGGTTACTGATCCACAACAGCTCCCTGGTGGTGTAACTGAGACTTCTGTACTCAGCTTCAGCAGATGAACAACTGATTGTTTCATGCTTCTTAGCTTTCCATGAAATGAGAGAACCTCCAAGGAATACACAGTACCCTGAGATAGATCTCCTGTGATTAGGATTGGATCCCCAATCTGCATCACTAAAGGCTTCAACCTTAAAGGAATTTTTTGATGAGTAAAACAGTCCATGCGACACAGTTCCTTTAAGGTATTTAAGGACATAAAGTAATGATTCCCAATGCTCTTCACATGGTTTCTGCACATGTTGACTGAGTTGTTGAACAACAAAGGAGATATCTGGCCTGGTGAAATGCAAGTAAAGCAACTGTCCAACTAATTTCCTGTACTTGGAAGGATTATTCAACATCTGACTCGGAGAATCAGTAAATTGATGTCCCTTGGGTAAAGGAGTACTTGCTGGTTTACATTCTGTTAATCCAACATCTTGCAGAATGTCTAGAATGTATTTTCTTTGGTTGATATACATGCCTTCTGGTGATCTGGCCAGTTCAATTCCCAAGAAGTACTTTACAATTCTCAAATCCTTTATGGTAAACTTGTTATCCAAGAACCTCTTAACCTTCTCTATAACATCTGAGTTGGATCCTGTAACAAGGATATCATCTACATAGACCACCAGGATAGTAAGATGACCCTCAATCATACCTGTGAAAAGGCAAGGATCATTGGTTGATTGCTGAAAACCAATTAATTGAATTTGATTGGTGAACTCCAAGTTCCATTGCCTTGAAGCCTGTTTCAGTCCATACAATGACTTCTTGAGCTTGCAAACTTGTCCTGATGTTGCCTTTTCATAACCTTCTGGTAGATACATATAAACTTCTTCTTCCAAGCTTCCATGCAAGAAAGCATTGTTGATGCCCAGCTGGTAGATTTCCCAATTGTTGGCTGTGGCAACGGCTAAAAAGATTCTGACTGTTATTACTTTTGCAACAGGTGAAAAATAATCACAGAAATCTTCCCCTTCCACTTGGTTGTAACCTTTTGTTACCAGTCAGGCTTTATACCTTTAAACTGATCCATCTGATTTGTATTTTACTTTGTATATCCATTTGCAGCCAATAGCACTCTTCTCTGGTGGTAGAGTAGTAAGAATCCATGTTTAATTTTTCTCCAATGCCTCTATTTCCCTGTTCATGGCTTTAATCCATTCAGGATTTGACTTAGCTTAAGCGTAACACTGTGGTTCTTTTATGCCACTGATATGTGCTAAGAAAGACATGTGACTGGAAGAGAAACAAGATGTTGTATGATAAGGAAATGTGTTTGGTGTATATGGTGATGATGTGGGTTGACGTTGTTGAAAGACATTTACTTGTGCTGCTAAATTTACCTTCCCTAGATCAAAGTCATTAAGATAGGATGGTAATCTTGAAATCCTAGTGGATTTTCTGACAGATAGTGGTGATGAGGAGGAACCTGAAATATGATCATCTCCTGAGAGATGATCATTTTTTGGCTGAGATGGTGATATAATGTGTGGTATGGATGATGATGTATGCGGTATATAAGAATTGGTTTCAGGAATGATATAAGGATCAGGATTATAATGCCACTCAGAATCTAGAGTTGCATTGGTTTGAAGAGATGTTTGATCATTGACCTGAATTGTCAAATCAGACTTATCAAAAGGAAAGATTTTCTCATGGAAAACTACATCTCTTGAAACAAATACTCTTTTGTGTTCTAGATCATACAACTTGTAATCCTTTTGGCCAGCTGGATATCCTATAAAAACTGATTTTATGGCTCTGGAAGTGAATTTGTCTTTATGAGGATTGGTGTTTGTTGCATAGCAAAGGCAACCGAACATTCTTAGATGTGTATCATCAGGTGGTTTGGAATATAGCAATTCATAAGGAGTTTTCCAGTCAAGAAGATAAGAAGGTAATCTGTTTATAAGGTATGTTGCTATAAGCATGGCATCCCCCCCAAAAAGTTTTTGGCTATTTTGACTGGAACAATAATGCTATAGCTATTTGGAGTAAATGTTTGTGTTTCCTCTCAACAACACCATTTTGTTGAGGAGTGTAAACACAAGACTTTTGATGGATTATCCCATTTTCTAAGAATAAAGTTTGGGTTTCTAATGATGTAAACTCAAATCCATTGTCTGAACTGATTACTTTCACATGTTTGTCAAACTGTGTATTCACAGACCTAAGGAAGTTTCTAAGTAAAAGGGAAGTTTGGGACTTGGCATTCATAAGGAATGTCCAAGTTGCTCTGCTGTAATCATCAACTATGGTAAAAAAGTAATAAGAACCATTCAAGGATTTCAATTTGTAAGGCCCCCAAAGATCAATATGTAACATATCAAAAATAGCAGAAGTTTGAATTGAACTATTTGTAAATTGTAATCTCTGTTGTTTTGACATTGGACATACATCACAAGTATCTATTGTATCTGTATGTTTAAAGATAAAACCTAATCTGCTAAGTACATTATTTGGTTCATGACCCAATCTTTGGTGCCATGTTACAGAGGTATCTTCAGCAGCTAGGCAAGATTGATGAACTGATTTGGTTGAAACTTGATGAACAAATGGATGGGTGAGATGTGTCTGGATGAAATGATGAATGACATTTTCTGCAAATGATGATGAATCTAGACAGTAGAGTCTGTTGAGGACCTTTCCTACAACAACTATTCTTCTAGTCACCTGGTCCTGCAACAGACAGATATTGGTGGAAAAGAAGCAGTCAATTTGAGAAGAAACAGCTAATTTATTAACTGATAGAAGATTGTATTTGAAGGAAGGAATGTGAAGGCAATCTGACACTTCTAATTTATCAGATAATTTCACTGTTCCAATATGCTCTACTTGTTTAACACTACCATCTGGCAATGTAACCGGGGTGTATTTTGTGATTTTTCTATAGCTGGCTAGGAGTTTCAAAAGAGCAGTCATATGCCCTGTAGCACCAGTGTCTAAGAACCATGACAATGCTAACTCACATTCAATCAAATCTAATGCATTTAAAGCCTTGAAAGAGACCATACCTGAGAAGTCATGATAATAAGCTATGTTGTTGTGATCTCCTTCTGACATGGTTGCTTTTCCTTTCATCAATTTGGACATCTCCTGTTGCATTGTTTTCATCATTGTCAAGAGATTCTTATTGCTGAGTTGAGTTCTGGACCAAACTCCACAGGTGTTTCTGCAAGATTTGCTGAATTTCTTGAACCAAATGCCTGTCTCCTTTCCTTGTTGTCTTCCCACCACTCCGGGTATCCAATCAATTTAAAACATCCCTCTTTCAAGTGACCTGTCCCTCCACAATAATCACATTTTTGCAACTTCTTTAAAGCCTTATCTATCCTGAATGCATTTTCCTTTCCTGAACCATAATTTCCTTTTCCTTGATTCCAATTTCCATAACCTCCACTGTTATTTCCTCCACTATTCTGGTTTTTATTATTATGGTAATTTCATGTCCCTTGATGCACAGTGCCAGAATTCCTTCTATGAACTAGCATAGCATTCTGTTCAACTGGCTCTACAAACACTTTTTGCAGATTCTGTTGTTTCTCGACTGTTACTACCATTGTATATGTCTTTTTCACAACAGGTAGAGGATCCATTACTAGTATCTGATCTCTAATACTAGCATACGAATCATTCAATCCACTTAAAAATTCCATCAATTTGTGCCGATTTTCTCTAGTCAAATTCTTGTTAAAATTGCAAGTACACTCAGCCAATGGATCAAAACAGTT